TTTTCCTTCAGCATGGTAAAAATTAGACTTTAGAAGTGTATTACTTTTCTGAATTCTATAGTAGTATAAGACTATCCAGGAGGGTTTCCACCCCAATACTAAAAAATTAATGGCCTGTGAAAGGAAACTGTAGTCAGGCTCCTGTTGTTACATCAATAGAAAACAAGGTGTTTATACAGAAGCATGGTGTTCACTCACACATACTACGAAAAGATAAAACTACTGGTACTAACAAATTATTAAGGAGGAATCATTCCTCTGTTCAGCTTCTTTACTTAGTAAGTGRTAAGACACTCATATGCAGTGCAAGAGCAATAACAGGTTAAGAGCCAGGAAAAGCCATTTGATTAATTGATGAACTTCCTTGACCTCATTCATCATTCAGGAGAAATACTTCAGCACGTAGTTTCTGTCTCAGGATTGTACTTGGTTTTTTTGAACTGTACATGTCTTTTAGGAAAATATCCAGGTAAGATCACTGAAAGACTAGAAATGTCAATATCCACAGGCAAGTTATCCTAACGCTTAACTTTCTCTGTGATAAAAGTTTTTAAAAATTGCCAATAATGCAGTTATTTTCAATCATAGCAGCTGGAAAGCTTTGGACCAGTATTTAGATATCTAGATAAGAATTTGGAAGCTGAAGTTAGTTACTTAACTTGGTCTTAGGCTGTCCTTTGTCTCTTTTCTGTTACTAATACTGTCTGAAATATATGCATGTTTTTTTCCCTTTTGCAGTAGATATACCTGGATTCTCTGTAGGAATAAAGCTGTAGGTAAAAAGAAAAAAGCTTGGAAGAAAACACAAATATTTTTCTATACTATGTAATACAGAAAGCTTTATACTTGAATTCTATTAAAGGAAAATAATTTCCTGGGTTATTTTGTCATTGAAAGTAAATGATTTGATATATAGCTATATATGGTACATAATTGTTTACTACTGTTAAGTCACGCAGTTTTACGGATCATTTATTTGTGGTTTCTAGTATCACTTTGTAGTCATTCTGTTAAATGTTAAGTTTGCGGGGATTTCTCTAGTATTCCATAAAACTAGAAGCAATTGTTAAGTGCTGATTTAAACAAATCAGTGCTTGTTTTCACTATTCTGGTTTATTGCACATTGCATTAGATTAGTAGTATAAACCCAGTAAGCTACTGTGTCTGTTTAAAGCACGATAATTAACTTCAGAGTGGTGTCAATTTGTTAAAATGTCCTGTTGTGATTATAAGAGATTAAGATTTACTCATGGCACACTAGAAAGCTAATTTCTACTTAAAAAGTTCCAATCAGTAGCTGGTCTCTCATCCATTGGAAATTTGAAAATAGTAGAGCAATATGAATTGACATCTAAATTCTGGACCTT